GAGTGCTATTCCCTCCCACCAACCTGCAAGCTGCTTAATTCACAAAATCCTTCCTCGCTATTCTCATCGCTTCACATAAATCGAGCAGTGGTGGTTACTATGTGGCAAAAGGAGCTCTCTGTCGTGTGGTGGCATGAAAAGATGCTGACACTATTTGTGTGCGCTGAGGCCTGCAAGAGGGTGCAATGAGCTCTCAGAATAGTTTTAGGAACTTTGATAGTGCTAGAGATGCTCGCTGGTTTGGGCGCCTCCCGCGGCACAAGTGTACATTGAAGAAGATGTAGGGCATCACTCCCAATGTGTTGGCTGACATGCACCACCCCAGCAATTCACTCCTGTGCAGGGCTTCCACTTGTGTCTTTGATGATCCACGGTTTTTCTGGACATTGCGTAGTTCATACGCCTCTGACACCCGTGTGTTGTTACGATTTTCGAAATGCGGAATGGCAACAGGGTGAAACATTGTCACACTAAGGATGGCCCAAGGTGCTTCAAGACAAAGTGGGTACTCAATCACTTGTACATTCGGACTTGGCTCTGCAGTACTGCTTTTCAAAGCAGGCATGGTATGTATTTCCCTCCATGGTGGGATTCACCGTAAAGTGAAACAGGCCTCACGGTCTTTCTAGTGGCTTGGAATGCGTCCCGCGGCCCAGCAGAATGTAATGTCATGCCCTGATTGTCAGCAACTAAAGCCACGCAATTCCCCTGGACCTGCAATTTCGTTAGCTACTTAAGGGACATGGACTGTTATGATTATAGGCTTGAACGGTGGGATGTCGGATGGTAAGGGTCACAATAGCATCTACGCCATTGCCGACAGACTCACCAAATAGGCCTATTTTGCCCTTTGCTCCAGCTCTGTCACAAACCAGGCAGCTGCCCAATTATTCATTACACATATCTGAAGGCTTACAGACTTCATAAAAGCAGTATTCTATACAGGGACCTGAAGTTACTTTTGTAAGCTCTGGCGTGCCCGTATGACCCTCCTACACACTGACAACAATGTTACCAACGCGAACCACCGTAAGCTATATTGACGGATACAGCAGACCAGCCGCACTCGTCTGCAGTATTTGTAGCTCTGTACACATTGTCTGACTGTAAGTTCTTTCTTTTGCTGAGTGAATTTATTGTGCAACAGTTCTCAGGTCACCCTTTTGCTCTCCCGCATCTATGGTCTACACTGGGGAGCCCCTCTTCAATCCGGCCTGATCTTTGTAGTATGAAGTCAACAGCCACCGTGAACAACAGGGAATCTTAGTGGGCATCTGCCTAGTGTAGCCAAATGTATGGGCAGCGCTTAAGATGGACAATAACGCGATTATTACTGGCAAAAACAAGTGTGAAACGCGGAGCGCTAGCCAGATTAGTTGACACAGGAGCAGCTGCGGGCTTTGTTACATGTGGGAGATTTCGCAGCTGTGTTTGGGTCACAAATCTAGTCGTCGTGGACGGTATTTCTTGCAGTAGATAGTATCTGTCCTTCCCTAGCGCATGTCCTGCCTCGAATAGCTACTTCACGTATGAGTACTGCTTCGAACGTTCCGAAATATTACCGTTAAGGTGTTCTATAAACTCAGCTATATGAGCACCGCGTGCAGGTGTGTTGCCCCACATTGTTTCCTTTAGTCTCTTTTTATGGCTTTGGCCTCGAATAGGCTGCGTGCACCGCCTGCATCGACATGCAGACATTGGTGTTTGAGAAGCGGAAGCCATGTTGAACTAGCGTGCATTTGATTGCCTCTACATATTTTGTTTAGCTTCCGTCGTTTCCTCAATTTCTTTTCACCGGCTGAAGAGCACACTTTGGCTTCCTTGTCTGTAGTGCTTTTGCGCTTCTGACTATCCGGGGAGTGGCGAAGGGGCGGGAACTGTATCGCTATCCTGAACACAGCAGGTCTCAACTCACATGTATGGTCCAAGAGTGCGTGTTGAGATTGGTAAGGATCGGTGGGGGAGGAAGTGCAGGGTAAGCACATTGACTCTCTCTAGTACACAGGTTATATTTGACAAGGAAATAGTGCAGCATTAAGTAGATGCCTATTCTGTTCGGATTTCTCGTTTGTGACAGAGTACTTTAAACGCGATGCCGGAATATGCAACGTTGTATCCGTGTGCGGTAGGTACAATGTGGAGCTATCCGTGAATGGTCAGCGTGTTCAGAGGGTGCAGCTGCGCGCAGCTTAACTGTTGCTGTTCCCTCATGTCGGAACTCTGGGGAGGGCAGAGAGGAAAGGGAGGGATCTCTTGAGAAAACGCGGTAAACTGCAGGTCAGTTTGTGTTGATCCAGGAGCAAGGTGTCTTTCATATGCAGACTTTAGTTGGACTGCCATACATGATTTCATCAGTTGACAGAGCAACTGCAGTGCATCTTTGCACATTGCAAGAAAAGCAGAAGGCGTCAGAAGCAACAGGTCTGAAGACTAGCTGTGTGACCAGAGCAGAAGCACTCCAACTCTACTGTAACTTAAGTGCTATCGCTCCCAGCTCCCGCTCAGCGCTCGAGTTCTTTGAACATGTGATACCTGGACATGTAAGAGGTCAGAGGGGCTTTTGCGGTAAGCATATATATCCGTTAATAACACATCACCAGCGCACGTTTGTGTACTCATTAGCTGTACGAGCTAACCGGCTGCTGCTAACGCTACACCTCCATTCACAGAAAATGTATGGCTTCCACTTGGAAGGAAAAAGCTTTCAAATTTTCTCACCTCTGTCTTTGACCTCACAGACAACCTTAATCTGTTGGATACTTGCTGAACCTAATCTTCCTCATATTTCGAGCTACACATACACGTAAAGGCGCTTGTGAACCTGTTCCTGCAGTTGTAGGAAAGTGAACTTGTTCAAGTTCCTTTGGTCATCTGTTATATGCTTGCCTAAGCTATTTAAAAAAAGGCAGCATCTTCACTTAATATAACTCCTATACCACCCATTCATTGTCGAAGGCAATAATCGATGCCAAGAGCTTTCGCTGGAGCGCCTTCGTCCACTAAATCTTAGCTGTTTATCATTCGTGCTTTTCCGGCACACTCGAGAATACTAGTTGCATCGAAATGCCAAGTATATCATCCTCCTGTTGACAATGCATCACCAGGACCCGTGAAAAATCGTAAGTTTTTAAAAGGCCGCGCTATCAGCTCCTGCTGTATTTCCGCAGAGCATCGTGGAGAGACAACAGTCAACAGTTCCGGTGCGATGTACTATTCTACCTATGGTCTCCCGTCGGAAGACATTTGATTCCACACTCAATACACGCTTAATTGCAAGCTGATGACTAGTTTAAAAAATAGTTCCCTGTTTTCCTCCCCGTGCACTTTACGGTGTCCGGCAGGAGGATAGAGGGACAGCTAGGGTGCAAGTAGCTGCAGCTAATCAGCATTTTGAGCATTCACATCTAGCAGCGCATATCATCTAGCCCACGCGCACACAACATTGTCCTCTTGAGGCAAGACTACACAATATTGCGATTGATAAGTTGCACAACAGAAAAGCGTACGAATCGTCATTCGAATATAACTCGTGCAGGACAAAGAGGTGAAGTACAGCATTAGCCACCTCCACCTATTGGATGTCCTGATTTTTTGAGTATTGTATTTACCATCCAGATGTTCATTTTGTTACAACGCGCACTACCAGGAGAGCCTACAAGAATAAATTTAAGCAAGTTTCATGGGTGTTTCGTTGAGTGAAGTGCATAAAACCACCCTAGCTTCTAGTTACTCAACGGAAACGATCGGTTACCGAAATAAAACGCAGTAACGTGCAATGAAATTCCGTATGCAAGGCACGTCTCATCTGTAGATACAGCTATAAATTATGCGGCTTTAAGGAAAAAAGTAATTTATCCTTCAAATGATCCAACACTCCGTTGTTTTGTCCTCGCATTCAAAGTTCTATATATGGGAATACGATATTCTGCTGAAGTAAAACGTAATCATCTGCAATGGCTGTGCTTGCAAAGGACACATCACACATGTTGATGCATCAATGTACGTGTTGTCCGTTTGCGTGCTGATGGATATTTGTATCTACACGAGGTGGTGGCTGTTGTCTCTGTAGCTACAAAAATGTGAAGCGGTACGTAAATCTCCTCGACTGGTAGCTTTAAAAGCAAAGCCTGGATTTACATCTACATGTGCTTCCTGGTGCATATTCATGTGCAAAGCTTTTCCGGCTGCATGTACATTTACACATAAAAGGACAGCAAGGTGATAGCTGGCCTACAAGATATTCGTATGCATATCTACACACGAACAAGCGACAGCAAATGCATACTGTTGTATTTCACTGTACTTCTGGTACTTCCTTATCGGCTTCTTTCAGGTTTTCTCGTTTTGTCTGTTTCATTTGCGTCAATGAGTCTGTAAGCTGGTGCAACAAAGAAGCTTTGACCTGCCCCTCCACTGTAAATCTTGCACATAGAGTACCGAGTCCGGAGATCGTGTGTTTGCTCTTCTGTCAGTTTAGGCAAGCCCTCGAGGTATACAATAGATAGCAAAGGAGAACGTTTTAAGATAAATTCCAAGGACAATATACTTAGCTTGACGCAACCTGAAAAACAGATAGCAGAGAGGTACAGTAAGCAAGAAATGGGCAATAGACGGATGGAGGGGTGCACAAGCGCTGCTCGTTCGTGGACACGCGCAACGTGAGTCGCCTCTCAAGGTCTCAAGGCTTTCTTCATTTAAAGAATAAGCAAATGACCAGATGAGGTAAGTGTGTGGCAGAAGGCGTAGAGTTGCTGTCCACGACAGTGCCACTGTCCCTGGGTCTGTGATGCGGCCTCTGGACTCAGTGCGATTCAGTTTTTAAGGGCCCCGTGACTTTTTTTGCGTTCTGTGGTTCGCATTGCAAATGATTTGATATATCTCCACGAATCAAAGTTAAGTCCATGTTACGTGCCTATCTTGGTGTGTCCTGCTGTATCCCTCAAAGCCAACTCATCCCTGTCTCCAGCTTTCTCGTTCCTGTGCCTCTGCTTGTTCCTTAAGTAGTAGCCCTACCCCTGACATCTAAGACTTTGAGCTCCTGCGTACAATTCCTCCTAGCAAGGAGCATCAGGCCATCATCTTGTATGCTGCTACAGCCCGCCACCCGCAGGACCCTCAATCCTCCTCTCTTTTCGCTCAGTCGAATCAATGTATCATGATTAAGTTCCAAATAGCCACAGCATTCCAACTGAGACAAGCCTCATAGCCCAACACCGAAAGCAGGCGGCACTGAACGTTGAACAGGTATCATTAGAGGGGAAGGTATCCACTTAATCCTAGCCTTGAACACACAACTGGCTGAGACCTAAAAGGATCTTGAATGCAATTAGTTGTGGGGCATACATCCTGAAGGTGGGGCAGCATAGCGAGGCACGTGCCGAGCTTGATGTCGGATTCTCTTTGACAGCAGAGGGAGATGTTCAGGCAACAAATGTTTTGGTGCTCCGAGAGAAAAGCCTGCAGGGCCTGAAGCAGGAGCAGCACAAGTGGTGGCGCTTCTTCTGCATCTGTGCATCTCAGCATCCTTCAGTGACTGCCAGTTACTAGGCCCTACTCTCCCTTTGTCTTTTCGTCATCTTCTCTTTCTAGCCCCTCGCTAGATGTTTGCTTGCCCTTCAAGTCGTTCGCTATGTGTACTGGAGTCATGAGAGAGGGTTTAGAGCCCGCAATGCCGTACAGCTTTGGAAGCAATCGACGAAGCAACTGCTTCCTGTATTGCGATGATTGATTACCTGAGCGCTGAGTTCTGTACAGCCGGCGCAGGAGAAAGAGAGCAATCCGGGGAACGCACGGCAAAGAACAGACAGACCTACAAACGCAAGCAAACGATCCCAAGCTCTGACCCTGAAGCATTAAAACTCTCTACGCCCTACTCTTTAAACCTCAGTCTTCTTACAGCTGTCTGAAAAGGCTGGGCAGCGAGAGACTTGCAGCTCCTTGAGCTTCTCTAATGGAAGCAGAAAACGCGTGCTGAACACAAGGACGGAGCGCTACAGTATACACGCTCAACCGAATGCCTTAAGCTCCAGCTCCAGACCCAAAGCCTTTAGTCCTACGGTCAACGCACTTTTCTTTGTTGACAGCCTTCAAACACCCCGAGAGATTCAAGGCCCTTAGGCACTGCACCGTAGGCAAAAACCCCAAACCTACTGGCTCACAGTTCCACAACCAAAGCCTAAAGAACTGATCTACATTAGTGCAAGCTAAACGCTGCCATTTTATCCGAGGTTGCAATTTGAGATATAGGGTTTCAGGGAGGACGGGGGACGGAAGCTAGGGGTTTTTGTACCGGCATCCGCGGTAAAAACGATAAAGTGCTCAGCCCTTCACACGAATTCAAATCAAGGTTTTCCAAACTGTGGAAGCAGCAGGGGTACGAGCAGCATGAACACCATTTATTACAGGGAGGCATATGTAAGGGTAGTGCTGAGCCTGAACAGGATCCTCCATATTGCAAACTTTCCTGTCCACATCGAGGGACTGCACTTCAGAGCTTTAAGCGGAGAGTCTACCTGCAACAGACTCCTAGGGCAGCCTCAGCGTCCTGTTGCACAAGGCTGCCGCCCAGGGACAGACACCGCAGGGACCCCCCAACCTTCCGCAGGAGGCCCGCCAAGTCTTTTGGCTCTAGCCAAGTAACTCGTGTTCCTTCCAAACAAAAGACTCCCTGTGAGCAATTTAGTATGCTTTCGTCCGGCTCTTCAAAGGGCTGCCTAGCTGAACAGCCCCCTCCAGCAAGATTCTTAAGGGAGCAGTCATCTGCAGAAGCCCGGGAACTTTCAAGGGGGGCCTCCCAGTAAGACTGCACTCTAGGAAGGAAATTACTAGCAGTAGGGCCCGCGCAGTAGTCTTCAAGGGCCCCACTTGTGCTTTTTTTCCCCTTTTTTAAAGCTTTTCCTTTAGACTCTCTTTTCTTTGGGATTCGGAGAGGAGGGGAAGCATTGGCGCGCCCGTGAAGTGGAATCTGAGGAAGTGGGTCTTTAGGATGAAGGCCCCAAGAAACGGAACCCATGTACGCTCCACTGAATTTATGCAGCAGGGATAGGGGTAGTAGATGGTACCGTATGGCCTGGGAGTCCATTGAATGTAGCGGAGGCAAATCCTCGCTGGGGAGTGGCCTCGGCACGCCCTCCTGTAGCGCCGGCAGCAGCAGCACGACTTTAAGCAAAATATTACCGAGTCTTACAGCCCCATAAACCTTTTCGAAGCTCAAACCCTGCACATATATGTTAGTAGCTAAGATCATACACCTGAATGAGATAGTCAAATCATGGATAGTAATCCCTCAAGGATCTGCCAAGGGGACACCGCTGGGATCCAAACAACACTTTAGAACGCCCCACCGAGCTCTCGTTACAGGTACTCACCATAAAGGCAGGTACATCGGGGGCCCACCAGTGATATGTGGGGCTTGCAATTCTACTTCGGGCACTGAAACTTCCAGGACATCCCAGAACATTAAAGGCCTTGTGGGTCCCTGTGAGGGCACCACAGAGCCGTTCCAGGGAATCAATTGAACAAAGCTCCATAAGATCGCGTAGAGGAGTTATTCCTTGTTCCCACAAAGAGCTTCTAATTGCTTGTTCTGCTGCTGCTAGTAGGGTGGCTTCATCGGAGAATTCTTCGTGAAGTGCTCCTGGATAGGCTTCCATGTGGAAGCTACGAAGGCTTCCAAAGTGTCTCAGAGAGCATTTTCTACCTATCCTAGCTGCGTGTTGCTGCAGGACAGAGAGCCTGTATAGGTGAATGCAGCAGGGGGCCCGCGGGGTCGCCCCACGCTCTCCGTCGTGTGGGTCGAATGCCTTAGAGGGGCCACCGAAAGCAAAATAGAATGAGGCCTTCGATTCTTCATTCACGTATGAAGCTGGAAGATCCATGGAGCACTCCTCTGTTCCTGATACCACTGTTCTTCCTGTTTCTGCTATTAGTGCTAATTTAGCGGTCCCAGCACCCGATGAGCAGCTGGCCATATTGACTCACTGTGACTAATGCGTAAACTGCACGCCCAAGACCACGAGGCTAGATACTGAATCAACAGATTCTTAGTTCATCGTTGCCCAGCTTTGTGGCCTTTGAAACGCCCTTTTGGTTAAGCAGTGTATGCAGTTTGCTGAGTCTACGACAAGCACACCTTAAGGCCTGTGACAATACTCGTAGAAATCCCCGGAACCCTTGCTGCCGAGCCTCTAAAAGGTCCTCAGTGTTTTTTTACTCGTTAATCTGAGAGTTCTGGTAGCCCATGAAATACAGCCGCGGGGGGTCTCGCAACAGTAACCGAGATTTCTGAACCCAGTTGCGGCACTGTGAGGCCTCCCACTTCATTATAGCAATAAGATAGTGCTGGGCTTTATTCTATAGGGTGAATACCTGTAAAAACTTCCTCCCTGCGCTATTGGACCCTCACAGCTTTATAAGGCCCCAGAAAAATGGATGCACCTCTAGGTGAAGTGGCTCTCAACAGAATGCCTGCTTCTCGTACTTTGCCCGACAAACCAACCAATTCATGATGACAGCACATATGGGTGTCCATGTAGGGTCTATGCGCAGCAACAAAGCCGTGGGAAAGGCAGGGTCTGTGATGCTGCATGGTGCAGTACAGCCACACTGCACGGAGTGCAGCAACAGCGGCAGCGGCTGTTGCTAATGCTATAAAAAACATCTTTGGAGGACTAATACTATTCACCCAACATTTACAAAGCCATGACGTAACTCTCCTCATAGTTCGCAAGAGAAAGAAGGGACGCCGCAGCTGGGCCTTGGGACAAGCTCTGCGCGCCAGCCCTAGCAAAAACAACACATGTTGCAGCAATGGTAGTCAACTCTTTCTCTTTCTTCAATCTTTCCATGGCAGCCATGCCTTTTTTCTACTCTCTATTCTTCGTATTCCTTCCGCACCCTGTCTTTCCCATTAACTCATGGGCCCTCAAGGGGCCCCCAACAGCTAACCATGAAGCCTCAGTACAAAGCGAGGGCAGCAGAAGCGTCAGTGAAGTTGTGAACTCCCGAAGCATATTTCAAGCCATTTAGACTTCCCCGCATCATCCTTGAGCTTCTAGGTTCCCTTATCCTGACATACTACTTGCATTTCTTGTGTTCATACTCAATCTCACCACTCACCGTTGAGATTACAACGATGCCGCCTTTCACAACTGGATCGGCGTCGAGTAAAGGACCCGTGCTTTATGCAGAAGGGGCTCTAGATGTTCCTATTAGGGGTCCCTCGGGGGTCACCGTTCCTGCCGCCCCCTTGTTGCCTTCGTTCACTGCTTCCCCCTGTGTGCTTAGAGCGAGGCCCGGCTTCTTCCTCCCCGCCAGAAAGCTAGAACCAGCAAAGCTGTATATGAGTAACTACTTGAAGAACCAGCACAAGATGCAGCAGCAAATGAAGGTGGCCGTACCAACAGACTGGGAGCCTTCACCTGAATCCTATCAGGGGTTCCCGCAGGCTCCTCATGACCTTCAGGGGTCATCTGCACCACTAACAAGCAATGAGACTACACTCTGGGACAATTTGGCTCAGATTAGTGACGAGACTGCCCTTAGGGACACGTGAGCCAAAATTGAAGCTATCAGTTCTACACTCAGACTGGTTGTAGGAGAGATGTGAATAATAAGGGATGAGGTCTAGGGTCTGGGCCATCGCATGGATATTGAAAGGGGAACATTTTCATTGGAGCTAAGTGCATAGGGGATTTGTTGGGTTTACATTTGCCCGTGCTGCTGCAGAACGGGAGGAGGCCCTACCCTGCGCGAAGCCGGCGTGTGGCTGTATGGCAACTGTAGGGTGGGTTGACGAGTTCCAAGTTCAGCATTAGATATGCAGGTCTTGCCGTATCGTAATCAATGCGTAATATTGGCATTGTTTATGGGTAAATCACCTTCTATCTTAGGTTGACCAGCCTGTACCCTGTGCGTGTGCATGCGCACAAATAGAATTGCTTTCTAGATGTGTTCAGTATTCATCTGCCACTGTGCGCCTCAGCTTTGCTTATCTCGTGGCTTTCTATCTCCGAAGTGTCCGCACTCTGGTTGGAGTCGCCCTGGAAGTTTTTCGGCAGCCTGTGGTTTTTCTCTCGATGCTGCGGCAGCGAGGGAAATTGCAGCAGCGGCAGCACAGGGCGACGTGCTAGCAGCGGCAACAGTACAGCAGTTTTTCTCACTGGGAGATGCTGCTCCTCTTCGGGGTGAAGGAGTCCCGACAGCTTACAAAATGCAAGGGAAACAGGAACTTTCAAAATCGACGGTGCCTCCCAGAATGCAGGGGCCTCTAGAGATTGTGCAGCCTACACTGGGTTCGCGCAATACCATGCCCAGAAACGGCCGGAGGCTTAAAAGTGCAATTCCTCTTGCAGAAACTCCCGTAGGTCGCGCTCCGAAGCAAACCCAGCGGGCGTCACGCATGTGGGCATCTAAGCCCAGGGATAAAGGGCATGAAAGAGATAGCCCCAGCAGAAGATACTATACAGTACAGGACACAGACACTGATGTAGCTTTGAGAGGCATATGCGGAGAAAGAGCCAGGAGCGAGCAGGCCAGCAGCACAAGCAGGGTGGACGACCAGTACTTCCGACAGCATATGCACCGCCCCAGAGAGCAGGATCAGCAGCAGCGGAGAAATAAGACACATTTTTATTCCCCAGAAGGCTACAGAAGGGGTCGGAGTCATACGGGGGAAGAGTAAGAGGCTGTTTACACTGTAGGTGCTGCTACCACCCATGCTGCCACGGGAGCTTTACACACAATTTTTCTTGACGCAGTATCTCTACAGCATCCAAGTGCAGTGCTTTCTATCCAGTATGCCGAACCAGTGTTTTTGATTGCTCAGAGCCAAGCCTTTGGATTGTCTGATGCGGGATCTTGAGGGTACAAACGCCAAAGCATTAAGGAGCATTGTCCTCAGACTCATAGACTGCAGACGGTACACTACCAGCAGCTAATATGCCATCTGTGCATATTCAACACAAAACCATAAAGCCTCTTTGATCTTTTGAGCAGCGCCTTAGTGTACACAGATGCACGTACTTTGAGAAGCCATACGAAGCGCTAGTGTGTAAACATGTGAAGATATCGTGTTTGTATATACTGTTTGTCTTCATTCAGACTTGAAACCCAAATAGAGGCAGATTCACACCAACTCCAAGTCCTTGATGCCATTTTACACCAACACGAAGCACCAGACACTGCTGTGGCTCATCTCTTGGGAAAATACGGGGGGGACCCGGGGCAGCCCCTTGCCCAATACCTCATCCCACCAAGGAAAGCAAATTTGCATGGGGTCCCCATAGAAGCACATACCCAGGCCCAAGGGAGAAAAGCTCTTCAGGAAGACGAGATTCTCAACAAGAGAGCCCTAAAAAGTGGGTTGCCCATCAATGAAGGCATTCGTTCTAAAGGTGCTCCCGGTCCGAGCTCCCCCGGCGGCATATCAGTGGTGAACGCAGCTCTTGGCGTGGGTCTCCATCACAGCACATTCGCGGGGGAGGTCTGAAAGATCCCCCCTATTGCAGAGGCCTCATCCACAACAACAGCACCTGAAGCCAATAGATCCATGGAAAATGTTTCCTCAGATACGACGAAGGCTGCTGTGCCATCCACTTTCCGGCATGAGAGCGGCCCCCCCGAAGGCACTTGATAACGTTATGAAAGTGCCGGCCCCAAAGAAACACTGATGAGTACCTTTCCGTTTTAAAAGGTACGGGTGCATGTGGTTTTCCGGGTGCCTGTTCATCCACACAAACCGAAGGCTCAGGTAATTTTTTGCACGAAAACTACAAGTCAAAATCCCTTTTGCTTATTCTCAAGCCGCTGGTAACGAGTGAGCGCCGAGCATATTCGGATGTTAGTTTGCTACCTTCCTCCTCCTCGTGTCCCACTCCAGTTCTCAAAAGCAGGGACCCGGGCTGCTTTACTGCATTGCTGTAAGCATAATCCTCGACAGCTCTCACATTAAATGCAAGGATGCTCCTACAAGTATCTTGTTTTTCCTAAAGCCGTAACTTGCGGGTCTGAGCGTGGTCTTAGCACCAAACGCCGCAGTTTGTAACTGACTTGGGGGTGGGGCTGGTGTACCTCGAAGCTCAGGGTGACTGCACGACCAAGCTTGCTTCTATGGTGGGTTTCGACCTTGTCTTGGCTTGCCGGCTGCAGTGCGCTTGATCCACCTTACGGGTTTCTGTTTCTGATAGTTGCTTCTAGCTTTGCATGAGTAAAAGTAAGCATGCCAGTGAACACAGACGCCCAAAGGGGTCAAAAAATTTACTACTGCTTCTACGTCTAGGAAAGCCATAAACTTTCACGAATGCTCAGCCTGTTTTCCAAAGAGTACAAGGTACACGTTTTCTTGCAGACAACCTCAGCTACTTTTTCATTGAGTAACAAATTCATAACTCCTGCGGGCCGTTTCTGGATGTTGTAAGGAGTCAAAAAGCGTCAGCACCGATAAGACGTGTGAATCTTTCCAGAAATCCTGGTGGCTCCCTGCAAAATTTTGCGGTGTGGGGCTATTCGCACAACGCAGCCTATAAATTACTCTATTTCATTCCTGTGACGAAAACGTTTCTCAAAGTGTATTAAGTCGAATATAAAAACTTGTTTTGAGACTCTCCAGTTCGTTTTCTTTGGCAACGTCCATGGCGAAACAAGGCAGTTGTCACTGGTAATCCCACAAGAGGCCTCTCCAGAACGCTTATCTTAATAATTACCATTTTTTCGCCTGAACACGTACTGTTTTCCACTACATAGAGCTTGTCAAGACATTTTTCGTCAGGCTTCTCACACACATTGGCAAAGGATCGAGAAAGCGCGAGCTTAAGACTCAGTGGTGCGTTAAGCAAGAGGGGAGATGAAAATCGATTGTGGCATCCACACGTACATTTTGCAATCAGATCAATGCTCTGTGTATGACTAAAGGCTGTGTGATGTTTCGAAAGGGCTCATGGTTGGGCCAGGAAAAGGCCCTTACGGGCACTGCATCGGCCTGCTCCGCTTCAAGCCCTTCACCCTGTTTTTGGTTATTAAAAGTGTGAGGTCGCAAAAGACCGGTTCATTAATGCGCAATCGTCATCTGGCACACCACTTCTGGCGGTACGCCACTAGCTATGGCAAAATCCACCGGCTTCTCCAAAACTTTTAAACGGCGTCACCTCAGTTCCGTTTTGAAGGCTTCAATGCCTTTTAACCAGAAAAAATCGATAAGCTTTCTTACTTTCAGCACGTTGGCTTTGTGGGCATGTTGATAGCGTTTAATTTTTTTTATTCGAGAGGACTCGACACCTATGGCTAGACAACATTTCAGTTTACAGTCTGTTTGCCCTCCGCAATCTCCAGTGAAGTGTTAATACAAGCCATCAACTTTTGTAAAAATCTCAATTCCGATGATACAGGGTCACTCTCACAGGCCCCTAGATGGCCTACTACTTACCTGGCAAGCACAGATCCCTAGGCATATGAGGCGCTTGATACTGAATTGCAGGATCATGCAGACAATGAGCCAGCCGCTACTGGGAATATATGGAGGAGTTTGCTAAATCGGCTCTCTCCGTGCATGTACAGCTTTAGCATCCACTGGTCGAGAATCTGCTAGGGGAGCTAGGCAATGGTATTGAATAAACAGCTCCAGCACAGACCCCAAAAGCTCCTGTGAACGAAAGCTGGGAGAGCTCTCACCCTATGTCGGAATAGCGGCCACGGGGACATGTAATCACCTTTGCCGGACGGCTGTACCATGTGGAAGGCCACTCAGACAGTTCTTTGACTAGATTTTGTCCCGCATTCCCTCAAGAAGTATATATTTGCCTGCAGGAGAATCACGCCGCTTCCTGGAGAACGTAGGAGTGTATTCTGTGGTAGTACACGTTTTACACTATGTGCAGTCGTTTCCACTTGAGCAGAATATCCTTGACAGTGTAATATTCACAACACAGACCATGATACTTGATATACCCGTGGCAAAAGGTAGAAACGTTTTGTCCTCAGAGACGGAACGAAAACTTGTTCTCAGAGAAGGCGGTTTTTTGCGGTGGGGAGGGCTTAGAATTGTTGTACAGTTCACGAATACCAGTGGGAAGCTCTATGCCAGGAAAATCTTTCACATTTACGGTTTCTGGAGAGTAGTACTGGCCTCGTGAAAATATTACTCATCGAGCATCCACTTATTGCTTGCTTGTGTAGATGACGGAGAATACGCGCGGCATTTGCAGGTGCTACCTCCTCTTGCATGAAACGTGACAGCCGTAATATCTTGTTGGCCCTCGTGGTTATCGTTTCCTGGACGGTATGATCCTTGCGCATCGGCATCTAGTCGATTTACTCGGTCTCTCAAGGCGTATTCGAACGCCGCACTGGCAACCGATCTTCGCTCTTGACCATCACATAGTAAGCTATCGGGAATTGCGATAAATTTGCATGGTTTCGGGGAGGTACACCAGAATATTCAGCCACGAAACTTTTCCATCATATTCAATGAGCAGCTGTTTCTTTCAAACCTTGGTGGAATCTAGGCTCTTGGCTGCCGTGGATACCCAGCTCTCTCAATGGCAACAAACGTGTATTTAGTAATGATCGATCTGACACTGTTTTTATAGGCTCCCGCATCTGGTAGCCACAACGAATTCATGGCAAGTAGGATCTCCACTCCTCAGTTTGAAGAGCCAACAATCGGCAGTGTCTTCGTCCTTCCCAAACTCTGGCAAATTGAAAATGCTCGAGGCTGCAGCATTGCTCAGTAACTCCAACGTCAACCTTACAGCAGAGCTTATCACTTTCGTGACCTGCGAAGCTTAAGACCTGATAAAAAGGCTCGTCACAGCCGACGGAGCTCTTCTACCCACTCCCACTCAAGCACTTCAATCCCATTTGTCAAGGCCATTCGTATACGAGACTAGGATATGCCGAAACTCTCGATGCAAATAGAAGCGTTGATACAGTACTCCAATTTCACACAGTCTCCTCGAAGAGCATGGGTGATCATTTGTAGATTCTAATCATCGTTGGTGCACCGCAAACAGCAAGGTGGGCCCATTATTCTCTGTTGCTCTTCAAAGGCTAGTTCATGTATAGAATATTGCCAATATTTTTGCCTGGTTTAGCGTACCTAGACAAAAAATCCGTATCCGGCAGTACATTTCTGCACAGAGCCAGGTCAGTTAGCATGGACTTCAGAACACGCAAGGCTTTAATGCGCTGCTTTGTTGGCCGCAAAATTCGTTTTAAAGACTCAAGTCGCTGATTGCTAGTCAATCCCCACACTACCTGGTAAAGAGTTTGTTGCGCTGCAAAGCCCGGCAGTTAGGTTGTTAAAACGAGATTTTCTCTGCAGCTTCCTACATGCCTCCAACCAGATAGAAGCCAGAAAATCATTGAGTCAGGTGAAAATTCACAATAAAAGTGTGTTCTATACACTTTGAAGCTCTGTGACTGGCCAAACACTGTCAGTTGCAGTGTATTTATCAGTCGCAATCACTCGCCAGCTGCTTTCTGTCTACAGACCATAAATGCCGCTTGAAAAAGCTCATCACGCACCCTATGTTGGACACCAGTCTCACCTTTGCTTTTCATTACATAAAATGAATCTACGAGTAAGCGCCTATTGGATGCTGGGTTTACGGAGAAGCATGGGGTGGCAGGCGGTGCGTCCTGTCTCAGGGCACTATGAGCAGCTGAAAAAGGATCAGCGTAGGACCAGTTGAGTTTTAAATTGTGGAAGGCCTCGATGGCGTCTAAGACTGATAAAACTTGCTGGATTGGTTTATGTTGGTGGGGTTGTCCCCAGTTTTCCTATTTTGAAAGCGGCAACTGCACGCACGGCAGCCCACCCCCAAGGGTTCGTCTGTAGTCAGTTAGAGCTTAGCACAAAAAGCTTGCCGGTGCAAATATGAAACAACCCCCATTTTAGATATATAACTTTAGACGGGAGCCCGCAGAGGACCAGTACTTGTATGTCCGTGCCCCCTTCGGAGCAGATCCGCCTCGTGGAGCTCCAGTAGCGTGGCACATTTCACTCTGTGGGTCCTGCTGACAAGCTTGGCCTAATCTCCATATATTCAAGATCAAAATCATTTTTTTTCTCTCTCTCTGAAAATGAAGGCATCTCTAATGTGGCTTTGCACGGCACTTTCAAGCGGTCCTTCTTGAGTCCAGAGGGTCACCTAGGCCTCAATCCTGCGCCACCTCGGGATGGACTGAGCTTAGCTGTGCTAAATCATAAATTGTTTAATCCGAGAGACAAGAACAGAAGGATTTAAGCATTTTCCGAAGCTGTCCAGCTGTACATTAAGCAAATACGGGGGTCACTCACGGTGAACAGCAGGACAGACAATGAAACACAAGCGTCGGCACAAAACAAAATTTTACGGCCCTTGTCTTTTATGAGACAAGAACATGGCATCCAGACCAATGTAGGAAAGCAGTCAACCTCCTCTGTTCTAGTCCAGGCACTTGTCAAAGGAAGGGCAAATTTCGAGGAGCGGGATAGCGAAGTGGTTAATATTGGACCTACTCAACAAAGGGTACAAAACACTTCACGGCCATTTGCGTGGATTAGCGAGGGTATTGCAAAATTTGCTGCATCTACGAATTCCTTTTTCCAGCGTAATGCTCAACCCCTTTTTGAGAGGGAAACCAGCTCCCCAGAATTCGACGAGGACACGCAACACTCAAGTCCACCGGAACAGGGGTCTCCGATAGTAGCCGAAGCTGTTGAGCGTGCAGGGAGCGAACGACCAAGGAAAAGTATTTTTAAGCGAGGAATACTAGCGGCCCAAAACCTGGAGTTCAATTCACTGCTCCACAAAAACGAAAGCATACATTTTCAGCCCATAATATCAGGAAAAAGAATATCTTTGAAGAGGGGCGAAATTATTGGCGAAGGCGGCTACGAAGTTGTTTTGCGTTTTATTTGGGATTCCTGGATGGAATATGCAGGCAGATTTTTAAAGATTTCCACCAGTCCGGAGGAAGAAATGGAAAGTATGAACTCCCAACTTTCGATAGTCGGAGCAATTCCAAAAACGAAGACCTATGGATAGCCACATACCGCAATCGTCTGGTGCTAACGCTCGATATTTTGAAGAAGGTGGATGCAAACCTTGTGCTGTCAGGAAAGAAAGGCAGACGCCCACTCAATGCAATGATCCTTACCCCTCTCTTTGCGACGGATCTTTCGCACCTTATATCAGTAATATACAGTAAGCTGCATGAGAATCATGGTCCACTTATAAGCCTGACTCAGCAGGCTGTTGCGGCGGTGAGTAATCTGCATGCCCTTGGGCTAGTACATCTTGACATCAAACCTGCTAACTTCTTTATCAGTGAGGTTGGACGTGTATGCTTGGAGGATATCGATGGTTCCAGTCCCAATAAAAGCTCACTATTTCCGCCGGTTTATACCGCTGCCTATGTATCACCTGAGCTTGCGCGTATCGTGTTGGAAAGTGATGTGTGTGCCATACGAGAAGTTACGATGGATTCATGGCAGCTAGGAGTTTCAATAGACAATATCTGGTGCAATTCTTTACCGAAGGTACAAAATTCGTATATGAGCTACAATCTCCTTGGGTGTATTGCAAGAATAGAGGACATAGCTCCATAATTGGATTCCACATATACCAAGCGCATGCCTAGCTCGGTCCTGAGCCTCAAACTTGCTTTTTGTGAAGTCAACCCAACAAGCCGCCTTGCTCCAGCAGATGCCTTAAAGTCACTCCCAGCACTGATTTTTCTACCAAACAATGCTAAGGACTAGGCTAGCGAGATGAGTACTGACATGCGGAGGCCTTTCAATCCGCATCAAAGGATGTTGAATGAAGGTGGTTCCAGAGTTTCTACGAATGTTTTACAAGAAGCACTCCACTCGCATTCATTTGCTAATGTTATTTTATCGCCGTTGTGCATTCACCATGGGCGCATCCAGCTGTAGATGCGTTTCCTTGGCAAACCACCACAGTATACACTCTCTGCGCTCTTCGGGAATAAAAGAACCAACAGTGACTGCTCTGCCCTCTTTTAAGAATGCTCACAAATTAGGGCATTTTCGCGAATAGCCAAATGAACGGATTTGAAAGCTGCTGTAGTGTACGCCTGCATGCAGGTAGACAATGGAACCATTTTTTTTATGCCATTTCCGCAACAATCCTTTTTTTAATTTGGCCACTGAAGTAAAAAGTGTGTTCTGAGGACAATTGGCTGCATATGGATCTTACGAACTAGAGGGACGATAGTGTGTTTAACAAGTGTCCTCTTGATAATTGTATTATTCTTCTCAACCTTTTAGACTCATTGCCCAGAGAGCTAAATATTATAATATAGAATCATGGAAATAACGGGATTTGAACTTGCATCTTCACCCCACGGCTTGATTGTCATTCTGAAAGCTGAGACAAGTTCCATTAATAAAGAGTTTGTGTGCTTCTAAACTATGAAATTTTAAAGTTTCAAATATTGCATAACATTTATTTATTTAGCTCCTGCAATATATCACTTAAAGCTCTCTAATAAAATGCCTTTCCTAAAAGCATTGCGTCAGCGGTCCTGACTGAGTATTTTTAAAGATTTTACTTGTTTTAGATCAATATTATTAAATAGTATTTATATTTAGTTTTTATCATCTTCACCTCGTTTGAGTGTAAGAGGTTCCGTTCAAACTAGGACAGAAGTGGATCTTTGCTCGTCGAATTCAGAGCTGGCGGGTTCTCGAAATACTCAGAGTGGGGTAATGCGATTGTAACACCATTGATCTTGCATGTCATAACTCAAAGACTTTAATGTTGATTAGATTGAAAGGTAGCTTGATTGTACCTATATCAAGTCTATCACGCTTATTGGAAAAGATAACAGTTATTTTTAAAAGCTCCTTGTCTTTACATTGACTAGGTTAAACAATCTGAATCTTTGGTTAATAGACTGTATGCCCTTTTCTTTTACCACTTAGCCACAGATTATGAGATTGGAGGTGAACTAATTAATGCAAAGACCCAAGCATTGGCGAACGGAAAAAATTATCCGCCGTTGTGTGTTCGAAGCCCGACAAGCGCTACTAGGTGATCGGCTATGCTGTTCCACAACATTCTTCTGCTATATAGTTCAGCCTCAGAATAAGTGTTAGGTAGGCGAAAGGCTAAGGTCTACATAGAAAAGGTGATGCACGCATATTTCTAGGGGGTATGGGAAGATGGTCAACTGTCCGGAAGATTCATAGCGACACCGTTTACCTGGCTACTGTCAGTGTCTCTTAGCACATGAGAATCCGCTGCATATGCACACTGTCCCTCAGATGATGGTCCTGAACACAATGCTCGCTCAGAAACCAACATTAGCAGCGTTTATGCATCGAGTATACCAGTAAACTCCCGCCACGCACAATGAACGTTTGGTCGAAAGAAGCTGGCTAACTTTAGAAAGCGGCAAAAATGCCCGAGTATGATAATTACATTCTCCTCTTACGTGCCCCCTGTATGTATACCACTCAAGTGTATGAATAGAGAGCTAGGAAGGCATCATCATGTGATTTCGTGTGCATTCCCAATTCCAGGTTTTGCACATGTGGCAGGAGAGGCTGTTACACAGGATAAACAGGGGGATAGAAGAGCACGATGTGAGTCGTTTGGTCTCATTTTTCGCCTGCCCCCCATAGTTGCATATTCAAGCCCATCTGCCCAAACTGTCATTAATCTCACTGCGATGAGAAGGCCACAAGGAGATCTTTAGTTGCTGTCGGTCTGATAGCGTGAATTAGCAGAACCATACTGCAACGAATGGGCAAGGGTCAGCACAGACCAAAGCGACAGGCCATGTGGTGTGTGGTGTGCAGCAATAGGCTGTGCAGTCTTCTTTGGGCCCGTTGACAAATTGCATAGTTTTCGGTTTTGAGGTACTGAAATCCGTATTCCTTCGTAGAATTTGACACCTCTAGATACTTGTGAACGTACTTTTCTACGTGACAGGAATGCACTTTTCACCGAACATCTGTCGAGGCATCACCCCCATCACTACCGTACGAGCAAGGTCCAATCTGAATCGTAGCTTCAAAAATCAGCTGTGGAGTCACAGGAATCCCTGGACGGATAGCCCTAAGACGCTTGTGCTCCCCGTATCACACGCAATGAGTACGCAAGTACCGTCGTTTTCATTATAGTTCAAGCTTCCAGTTATAGGAAAGTTTTCACGAGGCGAATGTACCATTCGATCTCGAAAGATTGAGAGGCACCACCAGCAGTCCCGAAAAGCCATCCTTAATGCGTCCTCAGTCATTGAAGGGGTTGGCGTAGTGGAATTCCATACGAAAGCTACACGTTCTAGTGGCCCACACATCACGACGGAACATCGAGGCACAGTGCCGAACTACAGTGTCGATATTGTATAAATCCCCACATACTTGCGGAAAACTTTCAATAATACCCTCTTCTCCATTTCAAGTTAGCTAGCTGGCACACACCTGGAACCTTCAGATGTTGAAATTATAGGGGATCGGCCCCGCGCTTCCCTAGTTGTCCCACAACTACACTTCGATCCCTGAATCCAATGCCACGTAGCTGTAGCAAATTCATTGCAACAACTATTTTGCTGGCCTTCGGAGACAGCTGAGAAGTAATTCACCAACAGTGGAGACGAGTAAAAAAAACTGCCTAGTTCCCAGAAGCCTTCTGCTTAACTTGCTTCACATGGTGAAAAAATTTGTGGCAAGGGAAGGTTTTTGGAGTTTTGGAGCTAGCTAATAGCTACTCGAGTATGCCAGATTTAATGACCAAAAATCCAGATACTGAAAATGACTTTATTTTTTCGTACTCGAACAGCCTGTTGTCATGATAAAAGCCATTGAGATATTTCTAGGGAGAAAAAAGCACATTTATCATCGAGATTCAAATGCACTGTCTGTCTTTTAATGAAGTCCGCCGATGTGGACAGCCTCAAAAATACGGTTCTTCACTTCAGGTTGCAGAGGGCAACATCTTCAACACACGTTAGCCTTTGCGTCAAGCCCCGCAGTGTCTCAAAAAGCACGGATCGTAGACAAGCGGTCAGAGGCGGTTTTCCCGCTATGAGGAATGGAGTGGGCAGCATTCTAACCAGCGATTCTTGGGAAAGCCCTCTGAACCCATACTCGCAGCTGCTCGTTGTTCTGTGCGATAATAATATTCAAGCGTGCTCATAAATAAGTCTCCGTACCGCACATTTTAGAAAACGCTTCTTCACGACTTTCAGATAGGTTTCTAGATCTCCTCTTTAAATTATGAGCCAAAGCCTCACAGTTTGCGTGCTAAGAGCCACTATAGTTCAAGATATCCAGCGCTTTTCTACCCAATTGCTTCGTTCGCATATATTTCCTCGCAGACTTTTCCCTCAACTTATTGCAGTACAAAAGTAAGCGATAAGGATGTTTTATACATCTTAGGTGAGGATCTGGAAAAGCCACTGACCTTCCCCAGAAGTGCCATGCAAAAGGAGCTGCACCGTAAATCTCAACCACTTACACAAAGCTACACCAGTCTGCGGTGGAAATGCGTACGGCACGGTAAGTGCAGATCTCTAAAGAGGTAGACAATGATGTTTGGCTTTAGTGTTTCCTGAATGATCGTGCAGATTGGAGTATCATGGACTGAAATCGAAATGGACGCTAGAGTTCTCGTACAGATCTTCACATATCTAGGCTTTGAGTGCAAGCTTCTGTCTGTCTATTTGTCCGTAATTCTCAGCAACAATATCTAGCCATAAGTACAGAATATTGTGCAGCATTTAGGTCTTTAGTGTGCACTCCGAATTAAGTCATACCATCACAGGGTCTAGCAACGCGTTAAAGGAATTGAAGCTCTCATCTGCGTCCATACACACCCATTGCCGGGTACACAGCCTCTCAAGCATGACAACTTGCAGCTTTGCGTGGTCCCACTGGCATAGTGCTGAATGGACTGTCCAACATTCTCTGCCTTGTATACTCCAATGATCGGCGTGCCTCCTCAACTCAGACCGCAGCTTAGGGTGCATCGTAATGATCCAAGCTCTCTAACTGTGAAAACATAAAAAAACGCATCTAGACAAAGGTTGAAACACCCAGTTGATAAGCATTGAAGGGAATCGGGAATTCCCTTCATGCATTATATAAAACAAAGGTTTGACCCAAAATGCGCTACTCCCACATGCAGTGGTTCCCTAGAGGGGTGCGATATTGTGGTTTTGCCATTTATGGTCTCTGATCCTGGCCGAAAAACCGCAGGCAAAATGGATAAGTACCTCAGAAACAACGAAGGCTTGTTTAAAAGACTTTTCAGTACGTGGATATAATGCCTTATGCAAGGAAAGCTCGCAACGACCGAGCCGTAGAGGACACACACAGTACCCAATTCTAAGCAGAACTCTCCAATAACCTCTTAAAATCATCCTCCGATAATTCAGTTACACTACTTTAATTTGGCATTATGAGTTTAAAACATCTGCCCAGTTCTACCCAGACACCAGCGGCCATAGAAGTGCGACGACGCACACGTTTTCACTGTGTAGGGTGCTTCAGCGTTACGTATATACTTCACACGTTCTTGTGGCTTTGACTCAGCCAATAGAATTGGTCGCATCGGACAACCTCACACTGCGTCCTAAGAA